GGCCTCAAACTCCTGGCCTCAAGCTATCCTTTTGCTTCAGCCCCCCGAAGTGCTGGATGTGAGCCACTGCACCTAGCTATATACCACATTTGACAATTAACTTCATGAACTCATCCTAGAAAAAGTACTACATACCTCATTGCTGAATATCACTATGGTCACCTTAGAAGTACTCCCCTTAGGAAGCTATGCACTGACGCCAGCACCTAGTCCACCCATCAAAGCAGTTTTGGAATTCTTTTTTCTGGAATGGCCATCAGAGATGTCATCATATTACCCCTGATGTCCTGAATGTCATCAAAATGTCTTCCTTTCAATACTTCCTTTATCTTCAGATGAAGAAAAAAGTCATTGGGGGCCAAATTAGACAGTAGGGAGGGTGTTCCAATACAGTTATTTGTCTACTGGCTAAAAACTCCCTCACAGACAGTGCTGTGTAAACTGGTGTATTGTCATGATGCAAGAGCTCCTTCAGGACCACTTTTACACGCATCTTCTCAAGCCATAATTTTCAGTTAAAATTTTCCTGTTTCTCTAGTAATGTTTACTTGGTCTGCTATTCTTCTCAGTCAGCCAATGATTCTGACACACAATTCAACAAATTTTGCAATTTATGTCAGTTATGCTCATTACTAGCTGTCCCGAATTCTCTTCATCAGTGATGCATTCTCTCCCCTCAGAAAAATGTCTAATCCATTTGTACACTGCCATTTTTTTCATGGCATCATCTCCATAAACTTGGACTAACATGTCCCTGATTTCACTTCCACTTTTGTCAAGCTTAACAAGAAATTTAATGTTTGGGCCGGGTTCAGTGGCTCAGCCTGTAATCCAAGAAGAATGGATTGCCTGAGCCCACGGGTTCAAGACCAACCCAGGCAGCTTGGTGAGACCTCATCTCTACAAATCAAAAATTAGCCAGGTGTGGCAGCACAAGCCTGTAGTTCCAGCTACTTGGAAGGCTGAGGTGGAAGGATCGCAGGAGCCCAGCAGGTCGACGCAGGGGTGGCCGTGAGGGAGCTACTGTACTCTAGCCTGGCTGACAGAGTGAGATTCCAACTCAAAAAAAAAAAAAGAAATTAACATCTGTTTGCTGCTCTAATTCAAACTCTGACAACAGCTCTGATGGGTCTCCTGACTGCCCAGCCCAACCAAGAATGAAAAAAAAAAATCAAAGCTGTGTCATACCCATTTTGCTAACAAATAATTACATGTCTTTTTAGTGCTTAAGAGAAGCCTTAATTTTTCTGGACTATCTCTATAGAATCATTCTGAAAACTTCGATGGTTTTAAAAATCCTTAAGGAAAAAAAAAGCCAGGCACAATGGCTCATGCCTATAATCCCAGCACTTTGAGAGGCTGAAGTGAGAGTATTGCCTGAGCTCAGGGGTTCGAGACCAGTCTGGGCACCTTGGCGAGACCTTGCCTCAATAATAAATCAAAAAATTAGCAGGGCATGTTGGTGCATGCCTGTAGTTCCAGTTACTTGGAAAGCTGAGGCAGAAGGATCACCTAAAACGAGCAGGTCGAGGCTGTGGTGGCCATGAGCATGCCACCACACTCCAGCCTAGGTGACAAAGTGAGACTGACTCAAAAAAATTAAATTAAATGAAAAAAAAGACAGGCCGGGTGTGATGGATCAAGTCTATAATCCTAGCACTTCGGGAGGCTAAGTGAGAGGATTGCCTGAGCTCACAGGTTCAAGTCCAGTCAGGGCAACTTTTGAGACCTCATCTCTACAATATATTAAAAAATTAGCCAGGTATGGTGGCGTGTGCCTGTGGTTCCAGCTACTTGGAAGGCTGAGGCAGAAGGATCCCCTGAGTCCAGCAGGTCAAGGCTGCAGTGGCCATGAGCAGTGTGCCACTGCACTCTAGCCTGGGCTACAGAATGAGACTAACTCAAAAAAAAAAAAAAAAAAAGACAAAGGTGCCACCAGGCCCAGCTAATTTTTTTATTTATTGTAGAGACAAGGTCTTACCAAGTTACATAGACTGGTTTCAAACCCATGGACTCAGGCAATCCTCTCACTTCAGCCTCTCAAAGTACTGGGACTACAGGCCTGGTCTTTTTTTTTTTCAGAGAAGAGGGCTCACTTTGTTGCCCAGGCTAGTCTTGAACGTTTGGCTTCAAGCAATCCTTTTGCCTCAGCCTCCAAAAGTACTGGGATTAAAGGCGTGAGACACTGCACCCAGTCTAGTTTCTTTCCTCTATTCACTGTATTTTAAATTTCATTGATTTCTGCTCATTCTTATTTCCTTTCTTCTGCTTGCTTTGGATTTAATTTACTCTTCTTTTCTCGTTTCATAGGGTAGAAGCTTAGATAACTGATTTGAAAGCTTTTTTATTTTCTATTATTTCAATGCTATAACTTTTTTTTCCGTTGGAGTCTCACTCTTGTTGCCCAGGCTGAAGTGCAGTGGCACACTCACAGTCACCACAGCCTCAACCTGCTGGGCTCAGGAGATCCTTCCGCCTCAGCCTTTCAAGTTGCTGGATTGCTATAAATTTTTATCAAAGCACTATACCCCATTAAATTTTTTCATCCTTTAAATTTTGATATTGTGTTTTCTCTCTCATTCAATTAAAAATATTTTCTAAATTCTTTGCCACTTCCTCTTAGATACAAGAGTTATTTACAAATGCATTGTTTAATTTTGAAATGTTTAGGGATTTTTCCAGATGTCTTTTTGTTTTGTTTTGTTTTTGAGTTAAGAGTCTCACTCTGTCACCCAGCCTGGAGTGTAGTGGCCGCTCCCGGCCACTGCAGCCTTGACCTGCTGAGCTCCGGCGATCCTTCTGCCTCAGACTTCCACGTAGCTGGAACTACAGGCGTGCGCTACCACGCCTGGCTAATTTTTTTGATTTATTGTAGAGATGAGGTCTCACCAAGTTGCCCAGGTGGGTCTTGAACCCGCAGGCTCAGGCAGTCTACTCATCTCGACCTCCCAAAGTGCTGGGATTACAGGCTGAGCCACCGAGCCTGGCCCCAATGTCTTTTTGTTGTTATAATCAGAGAATATAATTTGTATAGTTTCAAATTTGCTAACGTTTATTTTATAGCCTAAAATACATTTTATTATGGTAAATGTTCCATGTGCTCTTTTTTTGGGAGGCTGGAGTATGGTGGCATGATCACAGCTCACCACAGTCTCAACTTCCCAGACTCATGTGATCCTTTCACCTAAGTCTCCCAAGTAGGTGAGACTACAGGTGCACGCCACCATGTCCAGCTAATTTTAAAAATTTTTTTGTAGGAATGAGGTCTCACTATGTTGCCTAGGATGGCGTGAATTCCTGGGGTGAAGCAATCTTCTCACCTCAGCCTCCCAAAGTATTGAGATTACAAGCATAAGCCACTGTGCATGTGCTCTTAAGAAAGCAACAAGGAAAGCCAGGCTTGGTGGCTCAGACTGTAATCCCGTGCCTTTGGGAGGCTGAGATGAGTGGATTGCCTGAGCGCGCGGGCTAGAGACCTACCTGGGCAACTTGGCGAGACCTCATCTCTACAATAAATCCAAAATTAGCCAGGCGTGGTAGTGCATGCCTATAGTTCCAGCTACTTGGAAGGCTGAGGAGGAAGGATCGCCGGAGCCCAGCAGGTCGAGGCTGCGGTGGCTGGGAGCGGCCACTGCACTCCAGTCTGGGCGAGAGTGAGACTTCAACTCAAAAAATAAAATAAAAAAAAAGAAAGTAACATGGCCAGGCTCGGTGGCTCAGCCTGTAATCCCAGCACTTTGGGAGGCTAAGGTGAGTGGATTTCCTGAGCCTGTGGGTTCGAGACCCTCCCCAACTTAGTGAGACCATCTCTCTACAATAAATCAAAAATTAAGCCGGGCTCAGTGGCTCAGCCTGTGATCCCGCGCCTTTGGGAGGCTGACGTGAGTGGATTGCCTGAGCCTGCGGGTTTGAGACCCGCCTGGGCAGGCGAGAGCTCATCTCTACAATAAATCAAAAAATTAGCTGGGCGTGGTAGCGCGCGCCTGTAATTCGGCTACTCGGAAGGCTGAGGCAGAAGGATTGCTGGAACCCAGCAGGTCGAGGCTGCGGTGGCCGGGAGCGGCCACTGCACTCCAGTCTGGGCGACAGAGTGAGACTCCAACTCAAAAAATAATAATAAAAAAATAAATAAATCAAAAATTAGTCGAGCGTGGTAGCATGCGCCTGTAGTTCCAGCTTGGCTACCTGGAAGGCTGAGGCGGAGGGATCACCGGAGACAAGCAAGTGAAGGCCGCAGTGGCTGGGAGCATGAAACTGCACTCCAGACTGGGCGACAGAGTGAGCCTCCAACTCAAAAAAAAAAAAAAAAGAAAGTAATGTGGCTGGGCACAGTGGCTCAGCCTGTAATCCCAGAACTTTGGGAGGCCGAGGTGAGAGGTTTGCCTGAGCCCAGGGGTTTGAGACCAGCCCGGGCAACTTGGTGAGACCTCATCTCTACAATAAATCACAAAAAAACTAGCAGGGCATGGTGGCGTGCGTCTATAGTTCCAGCTAGTTAGAAGGCTGAGGTGGAAGGATCACCTAAGCCCAGGAGACTCTAACTCAAAAAAAAAAGGAAAAAGAAAGAAAGTAACATGTATTTCTTTGTTGTTAGGTGATAAGATATACATATTTTGTAAATGTCCACTAGATCAAAATGATTGATAGTATTTTTCTGCTCTTCTAGTCCTTATTAATTTGCTATCTAGTTGTTCTACTGATTATTTTGAGAAGGTGCTAGAGTCCCCAAGTCTAAACTGTGGATTTGAGAAGCAAGCATTTTCTTTTTTTTGAGTTGGTCTCACCCTGTTGCCCAGGCCGGAGTGCAGTGGCACACTCACGGCCACCACAGCCTCAGCCTGCTGGGTTCAGGCTTCCCTTCTGCCTCAGCCTCCCAAGTAGCTGAGACAACAGGCACATGCTATTATGCCTGGCTAATTTTTTAATTTATTGTAGAGACAAGGTCTCACCACGTTGCCCAGACTGGAGAATCAAGAACTTTAAAGAACAGGTTGGCTTACCATTCTGAATCTGAGCCACTTTTTTAGAGATCTCTCCAATTATCTGTAAAAAAAAAAAAAAAAAAAGTACATTTTCATGACCTTTGAATATGTTAGAAAACATAGAAAACTAGCATTCAAAATTGGTAATTAAAAATACTTAGACTGCTGGTTTAAGAGTTATTTCGAGAACAAGAAGCAATCAGAGACTTGTGATTTCTTCTGAAGTAAGATTCACCTAAAACATACCTGTCGTCTCCACTTCTCAGCTTTGGGCAGCTCAGTACATTCTGAGGCTAGGAAAGGTCTTCGTTCCTTAGGAGATGCAAAATAAAACATGTTGTCACTATGTTGGATATCAGTTTCATGCAACATTCAAAACTGATTCAGGCCTGAAACCTAAAATGTCTAATGATCTAAAATACATTTGCAGTTTAAGTACCACATATCCACACCAAATCTTAAATCTAACTCTACAATCTCTCTTTAGGAAAAACATTCATTGTATTTTATCTAGTACAGTGAAATACCAGAAACAACTTAAATGTCCAGCAATACAGAGATGGCTAAGTAAACTAGGCTATATCCCTTTTGTGGTATATTTATACTACCTTAAGAAATGATGGCTATAAAATTAGCTGGGCATGGTGGCACATGCCTGTAGTTCCAGCTACTTGGAAGGCTGAGACAGAAGGATCACCAGAGCCTAGCAAGTCGAGGTAGCGGTGGCTGTGAGCATGCCACTGCACTCCAGCCCAGGCGACAGAGTGAGACTCACTCAAAAACAAAAAAAATGCGCATGCCTGTAATTCTGGCTACTCGGAAGGCTGAGGCAGAAGGATCGCCGGAGCCCAGCAGGCCGAGGCTGCGGTGGCCGGGAACGGCCACTGCACTCCAGTCTGGGCGACAGAGTGAGACTCCAACTCAAAAAAAATCAAAAAAGCAAAAAAAATGATGGCTATCAGTGTTTAAAACAAACATACATACATAAGCGTGTGTGTATATACATATACACATATGTGTGCATAACATTTTTAAGAAACAAAACAAAGAGAAATATGTAAATAATGATATATATTATCCCTAATTTAATCTGGCTGAACCTCTAAGAGTTGAGATATTGGTTTCAGCAGAGCTAAAACTTATACTACACTTCCCATTATTCAATATAGACAAAGATGGGATAATAAGAGACCTGGTCACATATTACAGAAGAAGCAGAAAATGCAAGCAGCCAGATCATCACACTGCTTCAGCTATAGGGAGGGACACCTGGAATTCAAATTGTACGAATTCTTAATAGTGTCAGCAAGTACAGACAAGAAATACAAAAATTTGAAGCTTGAGGTCTGTCCAGAAGGAAGTTTTACTGCATTTATTCTTGATAAATTTTAGAGGAAGATTTATACCAACCTTCACTTTTCCCTCTTCCAGCTGGGCCTGGCGAAATCTTGCTAAGGCTGTCCTACCAGGGAAATAAAAAACTCCATTAGATCCTGCTCCCAGATTTCTCATCACTCATGTTCCTAGATGGGTAAACCTATTTATGACCATATTTACTGTCATTTATATATATATTGCAATTAAGAAACCACAAAGTAGTTATGGCTTCCAAGTCCCAAGGAATAGGGCTCATGACATCGTTTGTATTCCTGAATACTCAAGTACCTGTTCTACTTACACTGCATGGAAGGACTATAGGAAACTCCACTTATCAGACCAATGTGATAAGCAACACATCCAGATATCATAGAATTCCCTAGCTGTCATTCTCACAGCCCCTGCACTGACCATCAGTGAACAAATGTTCATCCAGTATAAGTTCTGGAAGCTGTCAGAAAACACTAATGGGGAAAACAAATGAACAAATACGAGAACACTATTTTATTTTAACATATGTAGAAAAAGAAACCGCTTCTCAAATAGCTCATATACCAAAAGGATGAAATACGCCCCCTCAAAAAAAAGTTCCAGGCGGGAGTGGTGGCTCATGCCTATAATCCCAGTACTTTAGGAAACCGAGGTGAGAGGAATGCCTGAACTCATGTGTTCGAAACTAGTCTGGACAACTTGGTGAGACCTCATCTCTACAATAAATCAAAAAACTAGCTAGGCATGGAGGCACATGCCTGTAGTTTCATCTACTTGAAAGGCTGAGGTGGAAGGATCGCCTGAGCCCAGCAGGTCGAGGATGCAATGGCCGTGAGCATGCCACTGCCTTCTAGCCTGGGAAACAGAGTGAGACTCTAACTCCAAAAAAAAAAAAAAAAAAGTTCGATGGTGGTTATTAAGTTACAAAAAATGTACAGCTAAAACCAAGTTTATACTTACATGGCCTTTTCTGCATTTCGAGCCTAGGAGAGAGAAGGGAAGAAAAATGCCCATATTTAAACACTTTTTTCCATTTACTTTTTTAGTGAAAAGTTTTACAAGGACACAGTCACAAGCAGGCTGTCTGAACTACTATTATCAGCAACAACAAAAAAGTCAAAAGATGTCCAAATCCAGTGACTTATGCTATTCCTCCCTCTACTTAAATCTGTATTCCTCCACTGTCCCTAACACCTTGATCTGGCTAGCTTCCATTCCTCCTTCAAATTTTACTTGTCACCACCATCCAGAAAGTTCTTCAATGACCCCCTCCTCCCAGCTAGTCTTACCAGGATATAAGCTTACATGGTACTTACCACCCAGCATCACAACTGTTTGTTCCCTGCCAGTTGAATTTGGGGAAAGTAAGTCTCAAGACTAGCAAAGTTGAGTTTTATGTCAGTACTACCACATTAGTATCAAGTTAACTATCTCTGTGTCTGGCAGAGATTGTGTTCTCTGGGTTGCAGTATAGGTAGAAAGAGTACTTGTTGAGTCAGGGACTTACAGTCCCAGCTCGTCTGCTTACCATCCCTGAGAAGTAGTCTCTCTGAAACTCAGTGTCCCCACCTTTACAATAGGGATCATACCTCTTACCTCATAGATGTCATGGTTTTTTAATAAGATAAACATATCTCATGAAGGTAACATATGAAGGCAACAGATATGCAGTTTATATTGAGTTCAATATAAACCTCCTTTCAGACCCTCCCTTACAACTGACACAGAACTAAACATGGCAAATGCTTGGTGGATAAATAAATGAACAGAGCAGTGATTTGGGACCTTTCTCTCACAGAAAGGGCTACTTCTAATCCACTGGTTTCTCTCCTTGGGATCTTGTGCTCATTAATTATTATGGCTTCAAATATATCTTCTATAACCTAACTATGGCATCCATCCTGTGTTTCTTACAGTGGTATTACAGTAATCAAGCATCTTTTTTGTACCACCTCTAAGTGCATTCTCATAGTTACACGTCGTAAATGCTTCTTGAACAAATGAAGACGCCGACAAATCACATCAGTCCACAGAGATCACACCTCGACAACAATGCCTGCCTACGCCATTCATTTATTCAATAGTTACTGAACACCTACAACACGCCAGACACTGCGTGAGACATTAAGGAAGCAATAGTGAAAAAATACTACCCTCGTGAAGTTTATATCTTGTGAAGCAGAGCGAAAACAGACATAATTTAAATCATCCCAGAATCATATAGTCACAACTGCTCTTGATCTCCCCCATGGGACGTGGGGACAAACACCCTGGCCTGAAGTGGGTCCTAGCGCCTCTCTGTCTCAATTTCCCTATCGATAACGTAGAGAACACCATTGGGATTAAAGCACTGTCCAAGATGCGGACGCGGCTCCCGAGGTTCCAGCTTGTCCTTCCGACTCGTGACAGCCAAGCGCAGCAAGAAGAGAATCCTCACGTCACACCCAAGGAGGCTGAAACCCGCACTGCTGTACGCCTGAGCCCCGAGGGCACGAGCGGCCCAGAAGGGCTGGGAGGCTCACAGCCGGCGCGCGCCCGCCCCTTCCTCGCCTCTGCTCCCCACTCACCATGGTGTCGGTAAGGGCACGGCCCTGGAGCCCCGCGGCCCCAGCCCAAAGAGCTTCAAAGGTTCGAGAGAGCCGACCCTCACAGGAGCCGAAGACTCTAAATGCCTACAGAGACCGGCGTTTTCGCCGGAAAGCTTAGTTGAAAGACAGGAAGGGAAGGACCAGAAGCCAACGTGAGAACTGGCCGCGAAGGGGAGGAAACGAAGGCGCGCTCAGTACGACGCACCGCCGCGCGCGTACGTGAGAGGGAGGAAGAGGAGGTTGGCAGAATTGCGCTTGCGCACTGGTCCTGGCGGCTCTCGGACTCCTCCCGGTTGTCTCGTTTTGTTGTCGCGATAACAGATGCGAAATTTCCTGCGCTAATGATTGGTACCGCCAGAGGCGGCTGGGTACTCGGTGTGATCGTGCGGAAGGGTGTCTGGGGTTATTGTTTCTGCCCTGCTTATCTCACCCGCCTCCTTTTTGGTTCTTCTGTGAGAACACATACCTCCTTTTGGAAATTGCTGGCCCTTATCTCCCTGAATGAACTGAGTCCTGACAGCCCGCTGGACGAGGGATCGGCGCAGATCAGACGGGAGTCTTTGTCCTCCCGGAGTTGGAGCTGACCGGGCTTCGTAAACCCCGCCACGTTTTCCTGTCATTCCTTAGGGTCTGTGCATTTTATGAACTTGTCTCCTGGCATCGCGGTGCCTTTCGGAGCTGGACCAGCGCTTAAGGTCATCCTCCTTTAAAATAGGAATGAATTTAAGGTCCGGGGAAGAAAGAGACACTTGGTTTGAGAGGCGATATGTGAGTCACTTCCCAGAGAGATGCGTTCATTGTGTGATGGAAACATTTGCTGGGGCCAAGAGATCCTTAGACAACGACCGGGAAAACAGGAAAGGCCGCAGACAGGAATAGTTCTGATGGCTACTCCCGTTGCGGTGGGCATGAGCTGACCTGTGGTGCTCAGCCCCTCACAATTCAAGTGAGGGTCTACAGCAAATTCAGCCACAGCACGGTGCCTCACCCCTAGGGACTCCCTACCTAAGGACATAGCCAGTGTTAGCTGCAGCCAGGAGGCACAAGCCAGCGAGAGGAAACAGTTATCATGTGGTTCAGGATTAAACAGGACAAGTCCTTAGAATAATCACCAGGATCTCATGCCTGAATGTGACAAGGACAGCAAGTTTTCTCTCCTTCAAAATTTTAAATGGACATTTTAGACAAAGTAGCATAAAGAATACAAAAATGTATTAAAGCAGACACATGGCCACCCCGCTAAAGACTCCATCTTCCCACCAGTCAGTGGGCTTGTGATTAGTGGTCAACAGGAATTGAGTCAAAGGGAGGTGTCACTTAGGAGAAGCCCATGAAAAAACAAACCCCTCTTGCTTTTTTTCTGGTGAGAGAAGATGGCCATGGGCAGAGTCAACATGAACTCAGAAAGTGGAAGTATTCTGAGGATGCCAGAGACCTCCTAGCTCTGGAATACTGAGCTCTGTAAAATGGAATAAACGTATGTCTTCAGGTTGCTGCATTTAGGGGTCTTTGTTACAGCAGCTTAACCTTTACCTTAAATATCTGCTCCCAAACAAGCAGAGTCATTCTTCACTCAAATGAGACTTTCTCAACATTTCCATACCATTATCCATGAAATCTGACTCTAGGATGCAGAAATTGCATATAACAGGATTCAAGAGATATTAACTATGTTCCAATTACCCGAGTTCCCTTTGGAGAACCCTCTGGTTCTGGGGAAGGGAACTGCGTACCCAGCTTTTTTTTTTTTTTTTTTTTACCCAAGTTTCCTCACTGTGTTGCCCCCAGGCTGGAGTGCAATGGCATGCTCACAGGTACTGCAGCCTCAACCTGCAGGGCTCAGATCCTTCTGCCTCAGCCTTCCAAATAGCTGGGACTACTGGCATGTGCCACCACACCTGGCCAGATTTTTTATTGTAGAGGTGAGGTTTCCAAGTTGCCCAGGCTGGTCTCAAACCCCTGGGTTCAAGCAATCCTCTCCCCTCGGCCTCCCAAAGTGCTGGGATTATAGGCGTGAACCACTGCGCCTAGCTGGAATATAAGATTTGATGACTGAAACAGTAAAGGAGCAGAAAGAATGGCACTGCCCTGACTTCTTTCTGTGCTAAAAGCTCGAATTTATACTGCTTCCTAGTCACCTTGTAAGTATGAACAGGGCCGAGCACAGTGGCTCATGTCTATAATCCCAGCACTTTGGAAGGCCGAGGCGAGGATTGCTTGAGCCCACGGGCTCAAGGGCTCAAGCCTGGGCAACTTGGAGAGACCTCATCTCGATAATAAATTAAAAAAATTAGTTGGGTGTAGCAGCGAGTGCCTGTAGTTCCAGCTACTTGGAAGGCTGAGGCAAAAGGATCAACCTGGGCCCAGCAGGTTGAGGCTGCAGTGGCCATTCATGAGCAGTATGCCACTGCACTCCAGCCTGGGTGTCGGAGTGAGACTCTGACTCAAAAAAAAAAAAAAAAAAGCTGGTATAAAAGCTCTCTGTACTGTGTGATATGAAATCTCTCTACTGTCAAAGTATATATCTATATGATTTATCTATAGTTATTCCTTGGCATCCTCAAAGAGTTGGTTCCAGGATTCTCCCACACCAAAATCCACAGACTCAAGTGTCTTATGGAAAATGGCTAGTATATGTGTATCACCTATATATATTCTCATATACTTTAAATATCTTGAAATTAGCCAGGTGTGGTGGCTCACGCCTATAATCCCAGCATTTTGGGAGGCTGAGGTTGAGAGGACTGCCTGAGCCCACGGGCTCAAGACCAGCCTGCACGATTTGGCGAGACCTTGTCTCTACAATAAGTCAAAAAATTAGCTGGGTGTGATGGCACATGCCTGTAGTTCCACCTACTCGAAAGGCTGAGGTGGAAGGATCGCCTGAACCCAGCAGGTCAAGGTTACAGTGGCCGTGAGCATGCCACTGCACTCCAGCCTGGGCGACAGAGACATGTCCGACTCAAGAGTAAAAGAAAAAACCTTGAGATAATCACATCTAACACAAAACAAATATTAAACCATTGATATTATATTTTTAAAATCTGTATGGTTTATTGTTGTTTTGATCATGTTTTGGGCTTTTTCATGCCAAATATTTTCAATCTGCAGTTGGTTGAATCCAAAGATGAGGGCCAACCATATATATCATATCCCCAACTGTGATGGATCATTTGATATCACTAAGATAGCAGTTGTAAACTTCTGGCCAGCAGGCTGAATTTGGGCTACAAGTCTGCTTTATTCCCATCATGTTATAAAAGTTGGTAAATCATATAACAATGATGACTTAGGGCAACAATGACCCACACTTCCTGCACAGCAACCACACAGGTGCAAAACTCTGATGTTTTATCCATGTGGTATAAATGGCATAGGATAATGCGATACATTAACAACTTGGATGATAATGAAAATGTCTTTCCAATGCAAGGTGAGACTCTTGCCTAACCCGCACGAGAGGAGGGACCCAAAAAAACCTGGAATTTCTTACAAGTCTAAACTTTAGTCACCTTCAAAGTACTCAATGTCTGATGCAATACACCTATCAAGATGCTTTCTCCACTGCTCAAAAGTTTCTGAACTCTTCAATTTTGATGCCTTTTAGTGCTTCTGGTTTTTTGTTTCATCTCTTCCATATTGGCAAAACATTTCCCTTTGAGAACTTCTTTCACCGGGGAAACAAAAGGTGTTCATGGTGACATCACATGAATAGAGAGGGTGGGGAACAGGGATCATGTCGTTTTTGGTAAAAAAAACTACTGAACATTCAGGGCAGTGTGTGCAGTGCATTGTCATGTGGAAGCACTAGGTCACCTGTTTGCCACACTCAGGATGTTTCTTCTGCAAATCATGATGGATAACTTTCAGATAAAAACCAGTTGACCAGGTGGGTGCAGTGGCTCATGACTATAATCCCAGCAATTGGGGAGGCCAAGGTGAGAGGATTGCCTGAGCATGGTCTGGACAACTTGGTGAGACCTCATCTCTTCAATAAATCAAAAAAAATTAGCTGGGTGTGGTGGCACGTGCCTGTAGTTCCAGCTACTTGGAAGGCTGAGGCAGAAGAATCACCCAAGTCCAGCAGACTGAGGCTGCGGTGGCCACAAGCATGCCACTGCACTCCAACCTGGGCGACAAGAGTGAGATTCTGACTCAAAAACAAAAACAAAAAAACATGGGTGACCATTTGATCCCAAACAATTTTTTTGAGTTGAAGTCTCACTCCGACCTCCCGGTTGGAGTGCAGTGGCACGCTCACGGACACCCCAGTCAACCTGTTGAGCTCCAGTGATTCTTCCGCCTCAGTTTTCCATGTACCTGGAACTACAGGCGTGAGCTACCACGCCTGGCTAATTTTTTATTTTATTGTAGAGACAAGGTCTCGCCCAGGCTGGTCTCGAACCAGTGGGCTCAGGCAATCCACTAGCCTTGGCCTCCCAAAGTGCTGGGATTACAGACTGAGCCACTGAGTCCAGCCAATTTTTTTTTTTTTTTAACGTAAACACTTGGAAAGGTCTGCTCTGTTGTACTCTTCATTTCCTTCTGAATCCTCATTAGCAGCTATTAAAATCCAGTTATAATAACCTGTACAAGCCTTTTCTGTTATCCAGATTTCTTCTAGCCTCTGCCCATTGCCCAGTTCCAAAGCCACTTCTACATTTTCAGGTATTTGTTAGAGCAGCATTCCACTTTCAGATACCAACATCTGTATTAGTTTTATATCGTTGCTGTAACTTTATCACAAACTTTGTGGCTTAAAACAGCATATATTGGCCAGGCCTAGTGGCTCAGCCTGTAATCCCAGTACTTTGGGAGGCCGAGGCAAGTGGATAGTCACATCTGACTCTGAACCTTAGCCTCCCTCACATAGAGCTCGTGATTGCATAGGGGCCATCTGATAATCTTAGATAATCATCCCATTTCAAGACCCTTAACTGTACCTGCTAAATCCCTTTTTGCCACTTAAGGTAACACACAGAGGTTTCATGGATTAGGATGCACACATCTTTGGGGCTGTTTTTCTGCTTGCCACACCAACTCTCCCACGAATCCTTGTTTAGTGGAGGACAGACAGTATTTGAAACATATATATGAGGGACGATGCCCAATAAACCGGAATTCTTCTGG